ACCCCCATAGAAACACAAAGTGAAATATACTGTTTGAGTACTCGTTATAGCATTAAATCTCAATGTACAGCACATTAAGGATAGAGATCCTACATGAGGAGTAAGTGCACAGTGACTCCTGTTGTTGACTTTACCAATTGACACTCCTGTCTATGGCATCAGTAATCTCCCTGTGCTCCAGTCATGAGTTTCCAAGGCTATGGAAGCCCTCTGAGTTCTCCAACTCTTATCTTGTTTAGACAAGGTCATAGTCAAAGTGGAGGTTCTCTCCTCCCTTCAGAGAAAGGTACCTCCTTCTTTGATGACCTGTTCTTTCCACTGGGATCTCACTCGCAGAGATCTTTTGCCAGAGTGTCTTGGCTTTCCATGCCTGAAATACTCTCATGAGCTTTTCAGCCAGCTCCGAATGCCTTTAGGTCTGATTCTGAGGCCAGAGTGCTATTTAGGACATCTGCCATTCTATGAGTCTGCTGAGTATCTCACTTCCCATGTTGGATCACTCTCCCCTTTATTTACTCCATCAGTTAGCGTTAGCAGGTACTAGACTTGTCTATGTGCTCCCTTTGACTCCCAGTCCCTTCATCATGACCAACTGTGAACTGAAATTGATCACCTGGAACAGTGAGATGGCATTGGTACATGCCACCTCGATGGGATTGAATTGGAATCCCCTGGTATGCTTCCAACTCCACCACTTGGGGCAAGTCAGCCTGAGCATGTCCCAAATTATACATCTCTTCCCTCTCCCATTCCCACCACCATGTTCAACAGGGATCACATTTCAGTTAATTTTCAACACTTAAGAATAACTGTGCATCAATTACAGATCTAAACCAGTCATATTAAGTAGAACAGATAAAAAAAACTACTAAGAGGGATAATGTATTAAGTTGTTCATTAACAGGGCTATGCTGATCAAGCCACCATTTCCCATAGTGTCCACCTCACTCCAACAGGTTTCCCTCTTGGTGTTCAGTCAGTCGTCACCGATCAGGGAGAACATATGGTATTTGTCCCTTTGGGACTGGCTTATTTCACTCAGCATGATGTGTTCCAGATTCCTCCATTTTGTTGCAAATGACTGGATTTCGTTGTTTCTTACTGCGGTATAGTATTCTAAAGAGTACATATCCCATAATTTCTTTATCCAGTCTATCGTTGATGGGCATTTAAGTTGGTTCCAGGTCTTAGCTATTGTGAATTGAGCTGCAATAAACATTAGGGTGCAGACCTCTTTTTTATTTGCCAATTTAAATTCCTTTGGGTAAATTCCAAGGAGTGGGATGGCTGGGTCGAACGGTAGGGTTATCTTCAGGTTTCTGAGGAATCTCCAGACTGACTTCCATAGTGGCTTGAGCAGTTTGCATTCCCACCAACAGTGGGTTAGTGTCCCTTTTTCCCCACATCCTCGCCAGCATCTGTTGTTGGTAGATTTCTGCATGTGAGCCATTCTAACCGGGGTGAGGTGAAACCTCATTGTGGTTTTGATTTGCATTTCCCTGATTGCTAATGACCTTGAACATTTTTTCATGTGCCTGTTGGCCATTTGGATTTCCTCTTTTGAAAAATGTCTATTGAGGTCCTTGGCCCATCTCTTACATTATAATGAAAAGGCCCAAGACTTCACTGAATAAGTTTAACAAGTAAAAAGCAAAAAAGACACTAGTTTTAATGGGATTATAGACAATGTCTATAAGCAGAAATTGAATGGAAAAATGACCATACGCAGTTTTCATCAGTTAGTCATTCATAATTTCTATTAATGAAATATAACCAATGAAAATGTAACATCTCAATACTTATTGTGTGGTTACATGATATTAATTAAGTTCATTTAGACTTTAAGCAATTTCCTCTCAACAGTTTATGCACAGGAATAATTTTACTCATGTTGCAATGTAAATAATTATACATTTTTGGGTACTTTATTATTTACCACAGATTAGGGAAACCATATAATACTTCTGTTTTGGGGACTGACTTGTTTCACTAAGTATAATGGCTACCAGTTGCATCCATTTTGTTGTGAAAGACAGGATTTCTTTCTTTCTTATGGCTGAGGAATACTGCATAGTGTGTGTGTATATATATATGTATGTATATACATATACATATATAGCATTTTTAGCCATATCTTAGCTATTATGAATTGAGCTGCAATAAACATGGGGTACATATAGTCCTTTCATATGCTGATTTCATCTCTTTTGGGTAAATACCTTGGAGTGGGATGGCTGGTTCATATGGTAGATCTATTTTCAACTTTCTGAGGCATCTTTATACAGTCTTTCACAATGACCATACTAGTCTACTCCCACCAAGTGTGGATTAGAGAATCTTTTCCCTCATATCCTCTCCAGTGTTTATTGTTTTATGGTTTGTATTTGCATTTCCCTGATGGCTAATGATCCTGAGCATTTTTTCATGTGTCTGTTGGCCATTTGAATTTCATCCACTGAAAAATGCCATGTTCATGTCTTTTGCCCATTTCTTACTGTACTGTTAGTTTTTTTGTTGTTGAATATCTTGAGTTCTTTATAGTTTCTGGATATTCATCCTTTAACAATTGCATAGTTTACAAATATTTTCTCCCATTCTATTGGTTGCCTCTTCACTTTCTTGAGTGTTTCCTTTTAGTATAGATGCTTTTTAGCTTGATGTAATCTCATTTGTCTATTTTTTAGATTTCCTGTGCTTCTGGAGTCTTTTCCAAGAAGACTTTGCCTATGCCAACATCTTGCAGAGTTTCCTCAATGTTCTCCTCTTAGTAATTTGATGGTATCAGGTCCTGGATTTGAATCCTTGATTTATTTTTAGTTGATTTTTGTATAAAGTGTAAGGTAGGGATCTGGTTTCATATTTTCCCACATGGAGATCCAATTTTCCCAGCACAATCTGTGGAAGAGCATGCATTTTCCCAGGGACTGATTCAAGCTTCTTTGTTAAAATTCTTAGGTTTTAGTTGCATGGATTTATTTCCAAAGTTTCTATTCAGTTCCATTGGGCTGCATATCTATTTTCGTGCCAGTATCAGGATGCTTTGATTATAACTTCCCTGTATTATATCTTGAAATCTGATGTTGTGATGCCTCTGGCTGTTTTTGCTGTTTAAGATTGCTTTAGCTATTCTGGGTCTCCTGTGTTTCCATATGAATTTTAGCATCATGTTTTCTACATCTGAGAAGAAATGTTGTTGGTATTTTGATTGGGTTCGTGTTGAATTTGTGGGGCTCCATGGGATGCGCAGCCATGGAGCCCCCACGTCAAGGTCGGTCTGATAACTGTTGCTGTGTCTTTATCACAAGGCGGATGTTGCTAGTTTCGGTTAGGGCAATGCTTTCCCACGGTCGGGACTTTCCAGAGGCACTGAGCCTGTCTCATAAACAACAAGACGGCGCTGAGGACTATGCGGTGAGCCTGCCTGCTGCGTGACACCTCATCTGATTGGCCCGAGGACGTGTGCACACTGTGTGAACAGACAGCGGATTGGAGCATTCCGTGCATGGACTTGAGCCCACTTGCAATTGGCCGGATTTTGTATATAAGCTGTGTGCTGAGGAAGGAGGGGTCTTTTTCTGTCCACTCTCCTCCCTTCATTCTTTCTCTGTCGCTGTTATTTTCTTATTAAAAGTCTACTGAAGACCGATAAGCTGCGAGCAGTGTCATTCCTTTGCGGGCAAGGGAGCAACAAGTGGTTCCGTGACTCAGATTCGGACCACTTTGCTACACGCAGGAATAGGTAAGGAACAAAAGGTAAGCGTGCGTGTGCACGGAAATCAGCTGGGAAAAGAATAGAAACCACGGTTCCGTCGAAGAAAGACGGGGAAATTAAGCGCCAGAAAAAAGGGTAAAGGAATCCCTTAAAAGGTGGGAGTACAAAGTGTTCAGGAACACCAGGAAATAGGTGGAAATTTCCTTTTTACCTCCAAATGGGCAATACTCCGTCCACCACTAGGTTGCGCATGCTGTGGAGCTGCTTGTTAAAAGCTGCGGGGACGCCCTTTAAGGCGGCTACAGTATGTGCATTCACTAGTGCCATTGCCAAGACTTCACCATGGTTTGTGGAAGGTGGCCAATTAGATGAGCAACAGTGGTGGAGAGTAGGGAGACAGTTGAGAGCAGCCGGAAAGCCGGTAGAAATGCTTAGATTATGGCAACTCATTAAACAGACACTTCAGGACCCCACTGAGAGCATAGGGCTTTTACTTGATGAAGGATGTGAGCTCCTAGAAAAGGTTCAGGAGGAGTCTTGGCATCATAGTCAGTCTAGTGACTGTGGTAGTCAGTGGGACAGGAAACAGATGGACAGAGGCCCCTGTAGGGATGACCCACTGGATGAGAAAGAAAAAAATCCAGTGAAGGACCATCCCCCATCGAGTGTGCCCCTGCGCTCGAGGGAGCCATCTCATTTATATCCCAGTTTGACTAGGCTAGCAAATTTGTCCTTAGAGGATGAACTGCCGCTGCAGTATCGTCCATTGACTCTTCCTAAATTGGCCCCTATAACAAAAAAGGCTATAAAGACTCCATTACAGACGCAGGGAATAGGGTTAAAAAAGCTGAGCCATAGAACAGTTCATTAATGCTATAAAAATAGTCAGTCCTTGGTTCGCAAAAGGAGTCGTGAATGAGCAACATTGGGATTTGCTTGGAAAAGATTTAAATGTGCATTTAAAAAAACAAAGCAAGCCGTGACAAAGGCTGTGAAAACTTTGTTGCAGATGTAGAGAATAGGGTTAAAGAAACAAACTGTAGAGCAGTTTATCAGTGCTATTGAAACAATTAGTCCTTGGTTTGCTGAAGAGGGCGTTGTGGATAAGAAACACTGGGAGTAAAAAATATAGATCAGTATACACTGGACAGCCCTCACCTTGCATTTAAATATTTCACTTGAAGTAAATGTTCTCTGTTATAAAGTTAATATTACTATGTGAAATGAGAAATTGTGGTAACAAAGTGTCCGGACTACCCATTCTGTTTTTGTTTTCTGTACTAACTCTACCCCTATTATTGATAGGAATGCTTGAGCAAATTATGCTTGGTTTGCTTTACAAAAAAAAAAACCAAAAAAACAAGTAAGTCAAAATATGCCGCAAGTAGTTAAGATTCCACAAACCTGCAGAAATGTAATAATTACAGATAATAAGAGGCTAGTTCCCTCAGATATGTTTCAATTTATCCTTAAAACATATTAAATATTATTGTGTTTAATTACTAAATGTAAACTTGTTTAAAAAATTTGTATTGTATTCTTATGATGTGTTAATTATGCCTATACCTTGGTGCAACTCTAGGACCAAATGTAAGGACAGATTTTTGGGATGGAGAGGCTTGTGTCTTTGTTTGGCTCTGATAAACAAGTAACTTGTCTGCCGCATGACCTTCTCCTGCTCCTTGGGAGCCTGGCCAGCTCCCGGGGAGGGGGATAAAGGAATGTTTTCTGATAAACAGGTGGGCATGCTTCGTGTCTTGGCTCTCTGGCCAAGATCTGGGACGGGACGCACTGCTTGCCTAACATTTTGGCAATGAGCCACCCTTGTCCTTGGGGGCTTTAAGGGGGAGCCAGAGCAAGCCTCTGCTGCTGCTGTTTCATCCCGGGGAAACACGCAGTCAAGCTGAACGTTAAACGTGCTCGTGATGATTACTAATGATGTTTAATTCTCAGTATGGATCCTTTTCTGGTGCTGTGTGAAGATTGCCTAGTAATGCCCATAGTACTGTAAATTCTACAAAACATAAGTACAATGCAGATATGGATCGATTGGCTATTGTGGCTGAGGTGTTCTGTAACAGTCCCTTTAATTAAAAAATTAAAAAAATAAATTAATTTAAAAAACAGAACATTCAGGACCTGCCACTCTGATTGGTATGTCATTACAAAAATCAACAAAAAGGACTATGCCTGATAAATGAGGGTGCTATCAATATGGGCAGCAGGGACATGTACAAATATTGTCCAAAAGTCAAACATCAAAAAAACCCCTCCTCCTGGGATTTGCCCCTGGTGCTAAAGGGAAAGACATTGGGCCAATAAATGTCACTCCAAAACTGATAAAAAGATAATTCATTAAATAAACAAAGTTCAAAAAACTAAAAGCAGGGCTGGCCCCAGGCCCCATCCCAACAAATTTTGGGGGCCATGACATTTGTTCCTCAACAGAACACCCTAAATCTGTCAATTTCCTCCATGGAATCACAGAAGGTAGTGCAGGACTGGACCTCAGTGCCACCTCCTATACAGTATTGACCCCTGAGATGGGCCCACAAGGCCTCCCTACTGGGATTTTTGGTCCTTTGCCAACTGGGTTTTTTGGTCTCCTACTGGGCAGAAATAGTATAACTATGAAAGGGTTACGGGTTTTTCCTCGAGTTATAAACACTGACTTTACTGGTGAGATAAAAATTATGACTCAAGCCAATAATGTAACTTTAACTCCAGGACAATGCATTGCTCACTTAATTTTGTTCCCCTTCTCTTCAATTGGTAGGTCTTTTTTAAATTAAAAAAATAATAATGGTTTTGGATCTTCTGATGCTTATTGGATACAACCCATAACTAAGGACCGACCCAAATTTTTCTTAAAATTAAATAAAAAGTTATTCAGTGTTCTTTTAGATACTGGAGCTGATGTCTCTTATTTCAGCAGCAAGCTGGCCCACAAATTGGAAAAAGAAAATTACCATAACTCAATTGCAAGGTATTGGTAGGAGTCACAGATTAACACAAAGTTCCATATTGCTGCAATGGGAGGATAAAACAGGTAATGCTGGAGCCTGTCGCCCCTATATTTTGGCTGCATTACTTGTTAATCTCTGGAAACGTGATATTCTAACTCAAATGGGGGCTTTAATGCGTAGTCCAAATAAGATTGTTACCATTAACATACTTCAACAAGGTCATTTGCCAGATAAGGGTTTAGACAAACAACAACAAAGCATCACATCTCCAGTTACTTTAACTGTCAATCATGACCAGAGAGGCTTGGGTTTCCCTTGATGGCTACTGGTCAGCCTGTGCCCCATGCAAAAAATAAATTAAAATAAAATAAAAATCAAATAATCCCGTGTAGGTGGATCAGTGGCCTTTACTGCAGGAAAAGATAAATGCTGCACAGATATTGGTGGAAGAACAATTAACAGCAGGACATATAGTTCCTTCTAATTCTCCTTGGAATAGTCCTATTTTTGTTATCAGAAAGAAATCTGGGAGATAGCGATTGCTTCAAGGCCTTAGGGCTGTTAATGCTACTGTGGAAATTATGGGGGCTTTACAACCAGGTTTACCATTGCCTACTGCAATTCCAAAGGACTCTTATATTGCAACTATAGATTTAAAAGATTATTTTTATACTATATCTTTACATCCAGAAGATTGTCCCCGATTTACTTTCAGTGTTCCATCAGTAAATTTTAAAGAACCTATGCAAAGATGCCAATGGAGGATCTTACCTCAAAAAAATGGCTAATAGCCCTACTTTGTGCCAACAATTCATTGATGCTGCTCTTCAAAAAATTTACAAAAAATATAACAATTTATATATTATACACTATATGGATTATATTTTGATAGCTGGACCCGAGGAACTTTTGGTGATGCAATGTCTGACAGTAATAAGAGAGCAATTATCTGCTTTTGGTCTTATCATAGCCCCTGAAAAAATACAACTTCAATATCCTTATCAATATCTAGGCTTCCAATTGTACCCATGAAAAATACTTTCACAGAAAGTCACCTTACATTGGATTCTTTACAGACTTTAAATGATTTTCAAAAACTTCTAGGGGATAGGCCGGCGCCGTGGCTCAATAGGCTAATCCTCCACCTTGCGGTGCCGGCACACCGGGTTCTAGTCCCGGTCGGGGCGCCGGATTCTGTCCCGGTTGCCCCTCTTCCAGGCCAGCTCTCTGCTATGGCCAGGGAGTGCAGTGGAGGATGGCCCAGGTGCTTGGGCCCTGCACCCCATGGGAGACCAGGAAAAGCACCTGGCTCCTGGCTCCTGCCATCGGATCAGCGCGGTGCGCCGGCTGCAGCGGCGGCCATTGGAGGGTGAACCAACGGCAAAAAGGAAGACCTTTCTCTCTGTCTCTCTCTCTCACTGTCCACTCTGCCTGTCAAAATTTAAAAAAAAAAAAATTCTAGGGGATATTAATTGGCTTCATCCACATCTCCACCTCATAACAGGAGACCTTAAACCTTTATTTAATATCCTAAAGGGAGATAGTTCCCTGCTTCCCAACGAGTGCTTACTCCCGCAGCATGCCTAGCCTTAAAAAAGGTACAACAAGCCTTATCTCAGAGCTTTGTTTCTTACATTGATTATAATCAACCTTTAATTCTTATTATTTTGATTACAGATTATTTACCCACCACTCTGTTGTGGCAAGAGGCCCCTTTACTTTGGATATATTTACAGGCTACCCTTAAAAAAATGTTGTACCATATTATAATGCAATAGCTGAGATTATAGCTAAAGGGAGACTAGAATGTAAAAAAAAATTGGAATAGAACTGACATGTATATGTCAACCAACCATATACTAACAAACAGCTAATATGGCGCCTGTCTTTCACTGAAGACTGGCCTCTTGCATTAGCTTCTTTTTCAGGACAAGTTCATAATAACTATCCAGCAGATAAAGTGATACAATTTTTATGACATCATTCTTGTGTATTTCCACGAAATACAAGCTTTCAACCCTTAGAGAATGCTGGCTTGATATTTATAGAGGGTTCCAACACTGGTCAAGCTTCTGTAATTTGTGATGGTCACCATACAGTTATTAACACCTCTTTTTCATCTCTACAGCTAGTTGAATTAGGTGCTGTTTCACTTGCATTGCAGTCTACTTTGAATGTAGTGGTTAACATATACACTGATAGCAAATATGTGTTCCTATCAGTGCCTCAATTGAAAACTTGTTCATTCCTTCCTGAATCCTCAACTGCTTCTCCTTTGTTTTCTCACATTTGCACTGTCATTCGACAGCATACCTGCCCTTTCTTTATAGGTCATATTCAAGCACATTCCAATCTTCCTGGACCTTTGGTAGAGGGCAATCGTTTGGCAGATTCTGCTCTATGCATATATTCTATTGATACAGCAATAAAAGATCATGTTTTACATCATTTAAATACTCATACATTACACTTAAAACATAATACTACTAAAGAACAAGCTTGACAAATTGTAAAATTCTGTTCTACTTGCTCCATCCAGTTACCAGTACCTCACTTTTGAATTAATCCTCGTGATTTATTCCCCCAATCAACTATGGCAAATGGATATCACCCACTTCATAAAATTTGGTAAACAAAAATATATACATGTGTCTATTGATACTTGTTTTGGATTTATTTTTACTTCCTTACATACAGGTAAAGCTACAAAACATGTTATTGCTCGTTGCTTACAAGCTTTTGCTTCCCTAGGAACTCCAAAACAGATTAAAATGGATAATGGACCTGCTTATATTTCTGCCTCTTTTAGAAATTTTTGTGTAACTTGTTTCTATCTCATGTTACTGACATTCCTTATAATCCTCAGGGTCAAGACATTATTCAACATACACATAACACTTTAAAACAATATTTTAATAATATAAACAAAAGGGGGAGTTTAGGGTTCTTGCCCATTCTCCTAACAAATGGCTCTCACATGCTTTATTCATTTTAAATTTTTTCACATTGGATAAAGATGGTCATTTTGCAGCGGATCAACAGTGGCAACCACAAACAGCTGGGGTAAGAACAATGGTAAAATGGAAGGATCCTATCACCAATCAACGGAATGGACCTGATCCAGTACTGGTATGGGACATGGGCTCTTAAGGACTGGGTATTTTTATGCAACCAATTTGCTTTTACATTGTTAACCTCTGATGATTTTCGCAACTGCTCATTGGGCCGTGTGGCCCAATGCTAACATCTGTATTTCCAAAGGCACGACAGCGATGCTCATTATCTGAGAACTGTGATGATGATGTCATCGTAATTGGAGACCTGCTTTCACCATGGCTATACAGCTAGTGGGAGTTCCTGGATTGGCTTATGGAAATAATCGTGGACTATGAAGGCTTGCATGTTTGGTGACCAAAACAATCGATCTTACTGCTACTGCGCTATCCAATATAGCTGAAGAATTGGATCAAGTTCGTTCAGGAGTACTCTTAAACCGAGCAGCTATCGATTATTTGCTGTTAAAAGATCATATAAGCTGTAAATCTGTTCCAGGGAAATGTTGTTTTAACATTACTAACAATGCCATATATAGAGTCTGTTATTGATAAACTTAAGAGTAAAATGCAACATATGTTTATTACTAACCCACTAACATTTGAGGGGTTTCAATGGATTTGTTGGTTATTAATGCTGGCTGGACCGTTACTGCTTTTCATACTTTATATGGGATGTTTTCCGTGTGTTCTGCAATTTGTGCTATCTTCGCTACAGTCTGTATGGGCTGACATTCATCACTTAAAACTTCGTACCAAACCTCCTTTGTATTAAAAAATAATTAATATTTGGCTGTATGTTTCATCTCTCACCTAATGTTGGGCTAAAATGGTACTCAAAAACACGTAAGACACTCCACATCCTGTACCTACCTAAGACAGGGCTCAAGTTAAAGAATGGGTCGCTATTGGTTGCTTGTTTGTCATGGTACTACTGGGCCTTGCCTTCATTGCCAGATGGATCAGAGCCTTAGCACTCCGTCAGCAGAATACCAACTTAATAATCCAACAGGCTATGCTGGCCACCTTGCGATCTCACCCCAATAAAAAAGTATGGCTTAGCATGCTGGAGCGGTAGTCAAAGACGGGTAAACACTGATGGGCGCTCCTAGCAACCTAAGACAGAGGGTAGGACAGGCTTCCTATTACCTCCATGACGGGTAAGCAGGTAGCGCGCCATTGGGTACCTAAGACAGGCATGTTTCCATGCCATTTAAATAATAAAGAAGGGGGAGATGTGGGACTCCATGGGATGCGCAGCCATGGAGCCCCCACGTCAAGGTCGGTCTGATAACTGTTGCTGTGTCTTTATCACAAGGCGGATGTTGCTAGTTTCGGTTAGGGCAATGCTTTCCCACGGTCGGGACTTTCCAGAGGCACTGAGCCTGTCTCATAAACAACAAGACGGCGCTGAGGACTATGCGGTGAGCCTGCCTGCTGCGTGACACCTCATCTGATTGGCCCGAGGACGCGTGCACACTGTGTGAACAGACAGCGGATTGGAGCGTTCCGTGCATGGACTTGAGCCCACTTGCAATTGGCCGGATTTTGTATATAAGCTGTGTGCTGAGGAAGGAGGGGGCTTTTTCTGTCCACTCTCCTCCCTTCATTCTTTCTCTGTCGCTGTTATTTTCTTATTAAAAGTCTACTGAAGACCGATAAGCTGCGAGCAGTGTCGTTCCTTTGCGGGCAAGGGAGCAACAGAATTTGTAAATTGTTTTCTGTGGTATGTACATTTTGATGATATTTAATCTTCCAATCCACAAGCATGGAACATTTTTCCATTTTTTTGTATGTCTTCTATCATTTTTTTCTTTAACTTTTTGTAATTTTCTTTGCAGGGATATTTCACTTCTTGGTTAAATTTATTTCAAGAAATATCATTTTTTAAGATTTATTATTTATTGGAAGTCTGAGTTACACAGAGAGAGAAGGAGAGGCAGAGAGAGAGAGAGAGAGGTGTCTTCCATCCATTAGTTCACTCCCCAATTGGCCACAATGACCGGGGCTGCACCGATCCGAAGCCAGAAACCAGGAGCTTTGTCCAGGTCTCCCACGTGGGTACAGGGTTCCAAGGACTTGGGCCATCTTCTACTGCTTTCCCAGGCCATACCAGAGACCTGGATCGGAAGTGGAGCAGCCGGGTTTCGAACTGGTGCCCATATGGAATGCCAGCACTGCAGGCAGTGGCTTTACCTGCTGTGCCACAGCTCCGGCCCTGATATATCAATTTTTGTATCAACTGTAAATGACCGCTGTGAATGGGGTTAGTCCACATTGGGTAAAATTTTCACCCACGCTGGTATATGGACTGCACAAAGGATCTGGGCAGTCTTCATGTGAGTACAGAACTTTCTGCAATGACCCACCCCAGACAGTCAGGTAGCTTGAAGCCTCTGACAATAGACACAGTAATTGCCCAGAGACCCAGCTACACCCTATGCTCCTCTTGAAGTCATAGAATCCCACAGTCATAGTGTGCAAGGCTCCCAGTCATGGGGTGCATAGGATCTCCTCCTCATGCTGCAAGTCTGCCCTATCCACAGAAATAGCAGACTTTTCTAGAGCCAGCTGCCTGTGAGTGTTCTGCCCTTGCAGTTTGAGCCCCACACCCTGTGATAGCTTGTGAGGATAGTGCCACCTCACAATCTGAAGTGTGTCCCCAGCCTCTGTCAACCCTCTCAGCCAGACTAAAACTCAGTGGGAAATCTGAGTTTTTCCCTCCAGTAAAATCTGTGGTCATGCATGCCACATCCACCACAACCTTTACTGGTTTCAAAATAATGCCTTCTCCCTGCAGTTTGCTGGCTTCCCTTGTGGAGAGATTAGGAGAAACAAATGTGCTTTTCCTTTACTGGGTTTAGTTGGGGTACCCTGCCCCCTACTAGGGTTACAGGCTGGATTCAAAATCTGTGTCATCTTGATCCAAGTGGGATTCTTACTCAAGTCTTACAAAATGAGTGCCAGTTGTGCTGGGGTTTGTGAATTGGCAGACTCCAACATGAGTTAGTGGATAGCTTCCCTAGACTGTATAGAGTAAGCATGAATCTTGGATTTGTTCCTGGAAGTTCTGCAGCTGCAGGATGCAAGGGGTCTGCTCTCTCCTTTGGAAAGCATCCTGTCTCTGACTCTGGGGTCTTCTGCTGGTGTTGTGGCTGCTTGCTTTCCCCTAAGTCAGAATAGAGTTTAGTAGTGGCTGAACCACAGCAGTTTGGTTCAGGCATTTTTGAGGGCAGAGGGAGGCACTGTTAATTTGTTGCAAATGATAGGATTCCATACTTTTGGCCTGAAAAGCATTCCAATGGATAAATAAGTGGATATAGATAGATAGAGAGAGGTAGCTATCACATGCTCCTGAATGACCATTGAAGAAATTAATTGAAATAAGCCAGACACAGAAAAACACTGCATGTTCTCCCTCATATGTGGAAGCCTAAAGAAAAAAAACCCTCAATATAAACACAGAATGGTGATTACTAGAGGCTTAGAGAGGTAGGACATGGAAAGGGGGTTTTGTATAATAGGTACCAGATCAGAGTTGTATTAAAGCAGTATGTCCTTAGCTTTATACCACAATGTTGGGAGAATATTGTTCACAATTACATAGTAGATATCATTTGAACAAATAGAAGAAAGAAGCTGAAGTCTACTCTTATAAAGTAATGTCAAAGGGAAATGTTGATCACCCTGTTTTGACCAGTACACATTGTATACATGTGTTGAAATTTCAAACTGTAGTCTATAAACATAATTAATGTCAATAAAAAATTTAAAAATAAAATTCTTTAATGAGCAGTCAACTCAAGAAGTTCATGAAAGGATAGCATATTAACTCTTAAATGCAAAGGAGATAGGAGAAATGAAGTAACAAAAAGTAATTAATGAAATAGAAATTTATATAAATAGTTGAATTGTTCAATAAGATCAAAAGGTGGTCTTTAAAAATGTCAATAAAATAGTCAAATTTGATCAGTAAATCTGATATAAAACCTAATATATGTTTTGAACAAGAGACATGGTGCTAAATGTATAGAAAAAAATTAAAATATATAAGAGAGTAGCTGGGCCGGTGCCGTGGCTCACTTGGTTAATCCTCCGCCTGTGGCACCGGCATCCCATATGGGCACCGGGTTCTAGTCCTGGTTGCTCCTCTTCCAGTCCAGCTGTCTGCTGTGGCCCAGGAGGGCAGTGAAGGATGGCCCAAGTGCTTGGGCCCTGCACCCGCATGGGAGACCAGGAAGAAGCACCTGGCTCCTGGCTTTGGATCAGTGTAGCTCCGCCGTAGTGGCCATTTGGTGAGTGAACCAGAGGAAGGAAGACCTTTCTCTCTGTCTCTCTCTCTCTCACTGTCTGTATCTCTACCTGTCAAATAAAAAAAAAAAGCTTATAAGAGAGTACCAGCTTCATAATTTATTACTACACTTGAAAATCTGGATAAAATGGATTATATTAAAATGAAACTTGGCCAGCGCTGCAGCTCAGTAGGCTAATCCTCCACCTTGCGGCGCCGGCACACTGGGTTCTAGTCCCGGTCGGGGCGCCGGATTCTGTCCTGGTTGCTCCTCTTCCAGGCCAGCTCTCTGCTGTGGCCCGGGAGTGCAGTGGAGGATGGCCCAAGTGCTTGGGCCCTGCACCCGCTTAGGAGACCAGGAGAGGCACCTGGCTCCTGGCTTTGGATCAGCATGGTGCACTGGCCGCAGAGCGCCGGCCGCAGTGGCCATTGGAGGGTGAACCAACGGCAAAGGAAGACCTTTCTCTCTGTCTCTCTCACTGTCCACTCTGCCTGTCAAAAAAAAATGAAACTAAACATTTTCAAAAATTATTTGAGAATTAGAAATTCTGAAGAGGCCAATAATCAGAAGAAACAAAAACGTAGGCAGCAATCTAGATCTTAGAACATGACCAGAATCATACAGGTTTCCTCTTGAATTTAACTAGATAATTCTCATGTAATGCAAAGTTCTGGAATGCACAGAGGAAAGAAAAATTCACAATGTACTTGATGGGAACATAGTTCTGTTACCAAAATCAAATGATAAGAGTGTACACAGAGAAAATTATATGCTGATCTCACTGATTACTATGGTTTTAAACATCGAAACTCCCCCCAGATTAACTTGTATTCATAAGAAGAATTCAAAGAATAAGCCAGAGAATATCTGTTAATGTAATTCACTACATTAATGGAAAAAGGAACAGTTCTCATTCCCTCAAATTCAGCACCCATTCCTGAATTAAACTCTTCCACCTACCCATAACCCCATCAACCGAAACCTGAGAATGGAAGAAAATGTCTTTAATTCAAGGAAATCTATCAGAGACTTACTTATACTTAAATACTTATGAGGCTGTATTCTTGACTTTTTTTTTTTTGACAGGTATAATTATAGATAGTGAGAGAGAGGGAGACAGAGAGAAAGGTCTTCTTTCCGCTGGCTCACTCCCAAAATGGCCGCTACGGTCAGTGCTGTGCTGATCCAAAGCCAGGAGCCAGGTGCTTCCTCCTGGTCTTCCATGCGGGAGCAGGCGCCCAAGCACTTGGGCCATCCCACACTGCCTTCCCCGGGCCATAGCAGAGAGCTGGACTGGAAGAGGAGCAGCCGGGACTAGAACCCGACACCCATATGGGATGCCAGCGCCGCAAGGCGGAGGATTAACCAAGTGAGCCACGGCACCGGCCCCAACCTGCTGTTTTTAGAAAAGATTATTTATATTGAAGTCAAATAATTTATTATTTACAGACACATGAGGGAGTGGGATGAAATTGCTGATTCACTCTCCAAGATGTTAGAACTCCGTCTGCATCTCCTATAGAAGTAGAAGAGGTCGCCCAAGCATATTGGCCATCTTCCACTGCTTTCTCAGGCACATTAATAGGGAGTTGGATTTGAAGCGGAATAGCAGGGACTTGAATTGGGATGACAGTGGTAGATGGAGCAGT